TCCCTTCCTCCCTCCCTCCCTCCCTCCTTTCTGTGATTACTGCTGCTCTTAGTTTGATGTGTTTCCTTCTAGGCATTTTTCTTACTTACGTATTTGTAGACTTGGCAAAATAAAGAGCTAGTTTGTGATTTTTGTTTGTTTTGGTTTTAATGTAAGTGATGATATACACGATACATTATTCTGTAGGTATTTATTTTTACCCAACAGTGTGTCTTGGAGGTGTTTTCATGCCTAGTACAATGGGATAATAGATCTGCATTCTTCTTTTTAATTGCTCCGTAGTATTCTGCAGTATGGATTCACCAGCATTTTTGATCTGCTTCCTTTTTGTTAGGCATGCAAGTGTTTTCATTAGTTTTGCTTTTGCCACAGTGAATGTTTTGTGCACACATGCAAATGTTTATCTGTATATTAAATCTGAATAAGAAAAGTGATAGATCCCCCAGGCTGGTCCCCTGGCAGCCAAGTGAGAGTGGTGGGCCAGAGCACTGCGCCCCGTGGCAGGCAGTTGGAGTGTGGTGAGAGGTGCCCCTGGGGTCCACAGTTATCTGGGCTTTGAGCAGGGGTGTGGAAGCTGCCAGCCGCCAGCGGGCGCTCTCACCAGACTATGCTCAGCTTCCTGGCAGCATGACCAAGCCCGGTGCTCCCAGCTGGCTAGGGTGGCTTCTGCATGCTGGGGAGCTGGTGCTGGGGAGTTAGCTGACAGTGGGATGGGAACGTGGGGTAGCAGCTCCCCCGCTCCCCTGAGCTCACAGCAGTGGCTGAGTCAACCTCCTCCACCTGCCAGGGTGATGTGAGTCATTCCTGGAGTAAGGCAGTGCTGGGGAACTCACTGACTTTCCTTCTCTGGCTCCGCATCGCCTCAGGCTAATGTCCGGGCACCAGGGACCCTCCGTGGCCTTGGACTTGCCTGAGCCCCATGTTCCCACTGCTGGGTATCAGTTCCAGCCACCTCCACCTCCTCTGGCTTCCTGCCCAAGCCCTGCGGTCTCCTACCTTTCCACCTTTGCATATGCGGTTCCCTCTGTCTGGAACACTCTTGCCCTAAGTGCTACACCCTTCAGGTTTAGGTCCTGTGGTACCTTCTTGGGGAGCTGTCTCTGATCCTTTTCTGTACCCTTTCCCCCATCACTAGGTAGAGCAATAACTCAGTACACAGCTGACGTTTACTGAGAGGCAGTGCAGTGTCGTGGAGACAAGCATAGTCTCCGGAGCTAGTTATCCAGGACTCCCCATCCCAGCTCTGTCGTATACTAGCTGCGCAACCTGGGAAAGTTCATTAATTTCTTGGTGCCTCGGTTTCCCCCATCTGTAAAAACAAGGATGATATAGTACACCTGCCTTAATTTAATCCTGTAGGATTAAATTGGGTTGATATATGTGGGAGTGGTATGGTAAGAAGTACATATGCTATACATATGATATCACTTATATGTGGAATCTAAAATATGACACAGATGAACTTATTTACAGAACAGAAACAGACTCACAGACATAGAAAACAAACTTATGGTTGCCAAAGGGGAAAAGGGAGGCAGAGGGATAAATTAGGAGTTTAGGATTAGCAGATACAAACTACTGTATATAAAATAGATAAACAACAAGGTCCTACTGTATAGCACAGGGAACTATATTCAATATCTTGTAATAAACTATAATGGAAAAGAATATGAAAACATATATATGTATAACTGAATCACTTTATACCAGAAACTAACACAACATTGTAAATTAACTATAATTAAAATTTAAATGAGAAGTACATATGATATAAATTGTTGTTATCCTGCATTATCTATTATTCTACACTTACATAATCTATTATTAGTGTATATTCTGATTGTCATCATTATTATCGTTTACCAAGTGCTTGTTTTGTACCAGGCTGCCTGCTTTACAGGCATTATCTCAGCTAATCCTTCCAGCAACCCTCTGAGGTAGAGAGTCAAACTCCATTTTTAAAAAACAGCTCTATTGGGCTTCCCTGGTGGTGCAGGGGTTGAGAGTCCGCCTGCCGATGCAGGGGACACGGGTTCGTGCCCTGGTCCAGGAAGATCCCACAGGCCGCGGAGCGGCTGGGCCCATGAACCATGGCCGCTGAGCCTGCGCGTCCGGAGCCTGTGCTCCGCAATGGGAGAGGCCACAACAGTGAGAGGCCCACGTACCACAAAAAAACAAACAAAAAACCCCCAGCTCTACTGAGGTTTAATTTACATATCGTCAGATTTGCCCATTTTAAGTGTACAGTTCAATGATTTTCAATAAATTTACAAACTTGGGAATCCATCACCACA